CGTTTCCTGTTTTAATATTCACACACAGAGAGTGTGTCGAGCTGGTGATGATGTGGCGCGTGGGATAGCGAAACGATCTCCAGATAAGCAGTCGCGACATACAGCAATGAGGTCACCAGGGCGTTGGCAAGTTTGTTCGTTAGACAAGAGTCATAATGCCTAATGACATTCTCATGAAGGAAAAAAATCTACCAGTTTCACCGCTACAACGGGATAGACGTTGGTTCGTCAAGATTACGGAAGTCAAATCGATAAAACCGGAGGGAATTGGGGGTAGGGGGACATGTGCTAAATTCCCAAAGCCAAGGTTGGCCCTTCCATGCGCGTGGCAAGACTTCGTACGCCATGACAACACAGACTGTTGCGATCGGTTCGATTCTCACAGCTACAACTGCCAGTGGTACTAGTTCTTTATTAATGGTACCTCCGTTATCAACGTCTGGTTTGAGCTGATAACTGAAGGCTTCTCCATGGTTCAGCCGCAAGATTCTGTCCTTGCTCCAGAAAAGTTTTGACTTCGACCTGCAAAGTTCCCGGGCGTCTTCCCGCTTTACGTCTGCTCTTCCTGTAAAGCATCTGTTTGGTCCAGCGATGGTGTTTTCTCCTTGCACAGGCATTGCAGATTGCTGGTTTTGCTCTTATCCATCTGTCCACTCTTATCCACTTCGTCCTCTGTTTATTTCCTCACGTCATTCCCAGTATGCACCCTCAGCATTTCATGCTACGGTGTGCGGCTCTGTAGTTAGCGAATTGTTGCCATGTTTACGGCCCATGGGCCACACCTGTGCATTAGCATTCGGAGGATGCATTGATCACTTGCCTCAAGCGTAGTGGCGGATTTTCATATGGAAACAATTGCATGCTAAATGCAGTCGCTTATTAAGCCTGATTCTCGACGACGCTGCGCTTTTTCAATGACCACGTCATGCACTGCTATGTTTGATGTGAGCGGCGCATAAGATGTCGTTGTGTATGCTTAGAAAAACGGGTAATTAATTTACTAAATTTTGGTCATTTATAAGTGTCATAGATTTGATGACTGCCACCAGGACCTTCGTCGATGACAAAGCTAGTTTTCAGATCTGCACAGCAATGAGTTAGTAGCAATTCCTTGAAGTTAATGGTTTTTCATGCGAGTAATGTGTGTCATTAGTTGCGCTGGGCGTTACTGGTCATGTTTTATCCTGTTCTACGCCAATCATAGAAGTGAAAGCAAAGAAGTGAAAAACCAGACGAAATTGGCAAGCAGCAGGATATTTCAATTTGAATCTAATTTAACAGCGTGACTGACTGCCACGGTGAGGAAAGAACTGGAATGAGGACGGCAAATCGTTTAGACTATTCAAATGACAATATAGATTATAATGACAATCAAACGAAGGAAATATCAGTCAGGTAGATAAGTGCATCCAAATATGATTAGAACTCCTGTTAAGCGAGACCTTGGAATTGGTGCAAGAGCCCTCTCTAGTAAGCAAAGGCGATTGCGCTGCCCCCTATCCAGCAATGATATCTTTTCATGACCAATACCTCTCATCTCAGAATCCGTTGGGCTGAGCGAGAGTTGGGGAGACGTTAGCAACTTTTCTTGAGTCCTTTTCTCAAGCCCCCCTCTTACACGATAGAATTCGCATCAAAGGTAGTTTCAAAATAATTGGACAACAGCATTTGACTATGGATAATATCGAAAAATTATGAACATTATGCAATATTGAATTCTTAATATTTATCACATGACTAGAATGACATTTGATGAAGTTTCCATTTGCACAAGAATCCGGCTTGTTTTGTTAACCTAACCAGCTTTCTGTAGGACAGCGTATTGGCTAGAAAGAATTACCTAAGGCTTGTATAGGGTAAATATATAAGTTGTTTCACCTTCCGAAGCACTTATTTATGACCCTCTCATAAAGCCATCCATCAAAAAGAAATATTTTTGTTGCTGCAGTTCATTCACTTTCGATAAACTATATGCTAAGTGTAAAGCTCAATTACGGGATACTGCTAAGTTTTAAGAGCAATTCAACTTGTCACAAGAAGTTAGTTATGAACGGGCAGAACATTGATGGTAGTCAGCTGCAATTATCACATCAACATAACACAATACTATTTTTTTATATTCCATAAAATGCTTTACTTTACAATGATGGTACGGTAGCATAGGACGAATGGAAGTCATAATTCCGAATTATAAGGCAACAACTGCTTCCAGTAGTTCAGGGTGACCAGTTGAGCAGGTAAATATTCCACGGTGTTTAAATGCCTTCAATACATAGAACGCATGCACCACGTCACTGAGATGAAACATGTCACAAGGTAGCTGCGACGGGAACAGATTGCACGCTCCCACTGCTTCGTGATTATTAACCCGGAAGCTTAAAAAATAGTTTGATACCATACACCGATACTACGGTAGCGTAAGACGGTCGGAAGTAATAACACCTGGTTATACCGCAACACTGAAGTGCGTTCTTGCTTCTCAATAATTAAGTATGATAATATTTTGCATATTAAAAGTGCATGATAATAAAAGACGCTGACAAATCATTGGAAAGTGATTTCCTTAA